ACTTTTTTATTGTTTTTTTGTTTTTCTAGGTTTGTCGTCCGTAGGGAAAAGCGGAGCCCGACCTTCCCGCAGCAACCGGGCCTTCCCTTGGCCGACCCCCCTAGAGCTGCGGCGCGTATACGGGAGTGCCCTCGGCCGATAGCTGAGCCAAGTACTAGTGGTTTAAGGTCTACAGTGTGATATTGCAATTTGGATTTCTGCCTCGCGCTCTCACTCATGTCTCTGCGCACTGAGATCCCGAGGACACAGGCAAAAAGAGGGAGGTGACTTTTCAATTTTAAACTTTTTGGGACCATTTCTCGATCTATGTGTCTCATCTTTCTTTTTTTTTTTTTTCTTTTTTTTTTTCACATTGAACATTACCTTAAATTGAATGTCACAAGAGGCCGGTGACCTCACAATTCGACCCGGAGTACTGACAGCATCAGCCAACTTAGCTTACAGGTTGTTGCCTGCGGAACCCGAAGTTACTGAGTTCCAAGTCCTACTCATGTCCTTATCTTACCAAACGCAACCGTTTCCCTATCTAATTTGCAGATTCGAGTCGGCTGAATTGTTGTATCACCCGTAATTTCTGTTTCAATACCAGTATTCTTGAAGTCCTAAATCTACCAGCTTGTACGTACTAACCTGAAACCTGGGACTACCACGGCCCAGAGGACCTGGGACTGGTCCTAGACTGCCCTTGGCACTCTACATCTAAAGCTGGCCTACCTTGACCCTACCCCACCGAGTGCCCTGGTGAGTAGCCATGCTAACTTAACTGCAGCTCCCGACCCCCCTGAGCTGTCTGATCTACCGGTCATTCCCCCGGGTTGTCCATTTTCAGTATCCTGCGAGAAATTACCGATCCCTCGTTCGCCTGAACGACTGCCAACTTCTTATTTCTTGTCCACGTACATTTGAACCACCTGAGTTGTCCTCTAGAACCTTTGCCTCCTTTCGCTTTCCGTCTGTGTGTCATCTTTCTGCAGGGGCCTTGCTAAGCTTCTTAGTATTGTTCCAATTTTAATGGATGTCCCGAAGGACGAGGGATTGAAGGAAGGACATTTCTGATTTGATGAAAATATTGGAAGGTGGGGGCGGGGAACCAGCCTCTACATTGATGAAATATTAGCGGGTGGGGACGTACCGAAAGATATGGTAACAACTACAAATTAAAAGAATAAATATTTATTAAAGGGGGGGAAAAAAAACAGTTGCATACCTTACACGGAAACAGTCCCAGAAACATCCGCATTCCCCCAAGCCCATACATAGATGAGCATAAAGATGAGAGGAATGCTCAAGAAGTAGAGTCCAAGAGAGGGCACCCTGAAAAAAGACTTTCCAGTTCCAAAGCCATTCCTGCATTTCTGCCACAAAACTCGGTGATCGTGCCAAACTCCCGCCAAAAACAAGTGAAAAGAGGAAGCCTATGATTTTAGTTTTCGACTAAAAATGCTAACTAAAAAAAAAATGGACCAGAAAAGGGCGTCAAGCATCTTAATATACTTGGCTAGCGGGTCGAGCCCCGCGGAGACATTTTCAAGTTCTTACTCATTTGCACGTCAATTGCATCTCCGCATATGCGGTCGAGCCCCGCGACCCTTTTCTTTTTGAACTATTTATTTGCACGTCATTTGCATCTCCGAATATGCATCCCTCTGAACTCATTTGCACCTCATTTGCATCTCCGAATAATCGTACTTTTGCCGGATCTGCATCCCTATGACACTATGGTGGTTTTC